ACCCCTGAGAACTGTCTGTCCGGGGTGGGGGTCGGGTCCCTTTAAGCACAGCCCTCGGCTAGCCTGAGACAGCAGCTCCACGCTCTAAGTCCTCATCTGATGCCCTGCCGGCACTGCTTCCGGCCATCCTTAACCTCTGTTCAGGGTCCACTCTGTGTGGACATGCTAGTTCGAATTAGCAAAACGCTAATTTGAACTAGTTTTTAAGTCTAGCTGCGCTAATTCGAATTAGCTTAGTTCGAATTAACTAATTCGAACTAAGTAAGTTCGAATTAGCGCTGTAGTGTATACATACCCTGTGTTGGAAAAGGATTTGAGTTTGAAACACCCATTTCTCCTGCTGTCTCATCCCAGAAACGTGAGTCTGGCACAAAGGAAAAAGGTGCTAGAAAGGAGCACAGATACAGCATTTATGTGCACGGTACCTGTTGTAGTGGCTGGGGCTGCTGAGTCTGCTGAACTGCTCTTTCTCCTGCAGGCTCGTCCGTGAAGAGCTGCTCAGATGTTTACGCTGCTCTTTGGTCTTCTGTAGGACCCGTTTGTAGGACAAGGTACACAGCCAGCACAGCAGCTTCCCATCCACCTGAATGGCCAAGTAGGAGAGTTAGAGAGTTTTACCTTATTTCCTCCCCACACTCCAAGCACAGAATAGACAAGCTGCCTGACAGCAACTTCAGATCAACCATCCTCAGGATTTACAGGCCCCACGTACCCAATCACAAACACCACACAAGCAGTGACTCAAGGGGTCCCCAAAGTGGCTGGAAAGGGTGCTGACTGCATTCAGCACTGCCAGTGCAGTCACAATGATAAAAACTTGGCCCAGCCTGCTATCAGTTCAGAGCTGACACTTCTTCGCTTGTTTACATCACATGTTTTCCTGGTCATTTTAGAATACAAAATCACATCCTATGTGATTTGGGCATTAATAAACACCTGGACCTCTAAGGAGCATGCTTTGGGAACCTAAACACTAATACTCTATGGCAATGATTTTCAACTTTTTTCATTTGTGATCCCTAAATAATTTCAAATAGAGATGCAGACTCTTTTAGAAGTCTTAAACACAGTCTGTGGGTCCCAGGGGTGTATAGCACCCAGGTTGGGAATCACTGTGCTATGGTAATGACAATCTTTTGTGGACTCCTTAAAGCTTAGATAAAGTTTGTGGACACCAACATGTCTGCAGACCACAGGTTGAAAATCATTTCTCTAATGGGGCTTTGTCCAGATGGTGGGAACTATGTATACAGCATCCAAAACTGGGACCCAAAGACTTATGCGTGTGCTTTACACACTGTGAGTTGTCCTAAAGTTAAGTCCCTTTATCTCTACAATCCATTTCACTTGTGTGTGTACCTATACTCAATCCAGTTCAGATTACGACTCAACCAAGGACCTACAGTGTTGAGAACATAAAGCAATTAAATGAACTTAGTGTTTTAACACCTCTCATAGCAAATGTAAATTATTGGGCTGCCCAGAAAAGACTTTTATAGCTGACATGTTACTGTTGCTGAAATCTTAGGACTCTGTACAGAAGATGAACTGAGGTTAGTTCTTTTACCTTTCCAGCCCCACTTTACATAGAAACTCACCTTCTTCCTATCATCCTTCCTGTCGAACGCACATTGTTGCTTGCACTGTTCACAGGAGTGTGGCGGTCCATACTTCTTCTCGGAGTTTGTACAACGCTGGCACTTGTTGCCAATAAAAGCTGCTATTATGTTGCAGTACTGGCATGGTTTTGGCTTAAAAAAAAAAAGACAGATACTGTACAGTTTAGCAATGCTTGGTAATTACATGGCATATGTGCATTTGTGGTTTTCTTCTATTACTCAAATGCTCCGGTCTTCATAGTATCCAAGATTTGTTTAAGTACCTAGATAAGCCACGAATCAAGGATCCAATCGAATGGCCAGAACACCTGTCGTTATGCTGATTTCTGCATAAGGTGCCAAGGGATTTTTAATGACAAGCAGTCAGGACCTCAATTTTAAACCTCATTCTAAAGGGAAAAAAATTATCTAGTTTCCTGGTCAAATTTCAATGTAGGTGATTAAATCCTGGCTACCCTAAATCCTTAGTGTAATTTCAACTTGATCTGGGATAGTTCGTTTGCTGTCCTAAACTCATAATGAAGTACTCTATTGTCATTCACCATAAGAAACTATGTTCCACCCCAAAGAATGCTGCATTTTAGTAGTAGGTGAAGTAACCCCTTCAAAGACAGACTCTAACATGCTTTGGGATAAAAAACAATGGAAACAGAATTATAAGGAGGGAGGACAAGAGAATCCCTAGTACTTACTGTTCCATAGAGCTTCACATTCTGAGCACATTTCTTGCATATTGTGTTGGTTTTGCTGTTAAAAAATTAAAAAACAAGAATGAAGCATAACTGTGTCAGCAATACCTGGGTACAGATTAAGCCCTTTTCACTCAAGAGCTGAGTTTCTCCTATCAGGATTTTGTTTTTATGTTCATTTTTATATTAAAATGTATTTGCTATTCTCGCCTGGTGTGATAATCTGACAGAGTGAAGTATAACTAACAGACAGCATTTTCATAAGGCAGTCTCTTCAATTTAATTCATACATCAGTCTTTAATTTTTGAGGGTATTTACTCAGTTGGGATTCTGGTCACCGCAAAAGAGTTAGCTGGTTGGTCCCACTTCTTCATAAATTCTCCTACTCTTGAAAATACAGTTAAAACCAAGCAGAAAACCATATTTACTGCTGCAAATGCAGAATTACAAGACAGGTATTTACACTGCAGCATAGAAAATGAGAATAATTTTCACATGCCAAAAGACACTGTAGGGGAATAGCTTCTAGAAGCACCCAGATGTTCCACAGAAAGATAAAGCTGATGAGCACCATCCAGGAAAAAAGGGTACACACCACATTGAAAAAAATCAAGAGCACAGAATGTTTCTGCCTGACAGAGACTGGACTATGATTAGAGCCTCATCAACTGGCACAACTACAAGCACTAAAATGATGTATGTGTTTGAGTGCTGGATGCAGGCCCGCTGATGGGGGAGCAAAGAGGGCAGTTGTCCCAGAAGGCCTGGCAATTTCATGGGGCTTAGGGCTCCTGGCTGCCGCCTCTGCTTCTGCAGCAGCAGCTGGGGCCCTGGGTCCTTAAAATCACCGTCGGAATGCTGCACCATGTGCTAAGGGCTGGGGAGGGAGTGCTGCATTTTGGTCAGTCCTGAGAGCTGCCCACCCCATCCCTTCTGCCCGAGACCCCACCTCTCCCAGGAGCACAGAACTGTCCTTCCACACCTTGATCAAAGGCCTGTGGAGACTGTTGGCATGCCTGGCTGGATCCTTGAAGGCACAATGCAAAGGGCATAACAAGAGATTCATGGAACCAAATGGCATAGGAGTAATAGACAAAAATAAATGGAAAGAGAAGAGATGGAGACAGCAGTTTAGTGTCAGGAACATATTGCAACAGAAAACAGCAGCAGAGAGAAAGGATGGCTCAAAGGTTTAGGTAGCAAGATATGAAGCCTTTCACCTTTAGGTTGCCTAAAGATCAGGGCTCAGTTACGTTGGTGGGCCAGCGTGTGAGAAGCTTGTTTTGGCACTGCTTGTGCTGTACCTGTCCTTTGAAAAACTTTTGTCTCTAGAGCTGCCAATCGCTGCTACCTTCACACATAGAAAAAGGGATTGTGTTGAGGTCATCAATATACTTTTGTGGCACTACTGTGGATATGTACTAAAAAAGCAGATGCCATTTATTTCTCAGTGTTCAAGCTCAGTAGAAATTTACCTTTCCTGTTGGAATTCAGTCCTGCAGTATGTGCATTTGACAATGGGATGTGCGATTCGACACTCCTGCAGCAAAAAGTAGAGTTAGAGCTTCTACCACACAGGTTTCCCAAAGGCTCAACAATCCCCACCCCCCCAACATGACAACAGAGCAGTTTGGACAAAGCAGAATGGTAATGGTCATTGCCCGTTATCCTGCAATCACTCCTCCCAGGGTGCACCCCCCACTCCTCCCTTCCCTGCTCCTAGGGGATCTCTCCCTTCCCCTATTCTTCCCAGAGCCCCCATCCCCTCCCAGGGCTCCCCACCCCTACCTTCCCCCACGGGGTGGAGGGGGGAAGGAAGAGGCAGAGGACATGGGGGTGGAGGGGCGAAGGAAGAGGCAGAGGACATGGGGGTGGAGGGGGGAAGGAAGAGGCAGAGGACATGGGGGTGGAGGGGCGAAGGAAGAGGCAGAGGACATGGGGGTGGAGGGGGGAAGGAAGAGGCAGAGGACATGGGGGTGGAGGGGCGAAGGAAGAGGCAGAGGACATGGGGGTGGAGGGGGGAAGGAAGAGGCAGAGGACATGGGGGTGGAGGGGCGAAGGAAGAGGCAGAGGACATGGGGGTGGAGGGGGGAAGGAAGAGGCAGAGGACATGGGGGTGGAGGGGCGAAGGAAGAGGCAGAGGACATGGGGGTGGAGGGGGGAAGGAAGAGGCAGAGGACATGGGGGTGGAGGGGCGAAGGAAGAGGCAGAGGACATGGGGGTGGAGGGGGGAAGGAAGAGGCAGAGGACATGGGGGTGGAGGGGCGAAGGAAGAGGCAGAGGACATGGGGGTGGAGGGGGGAAGGAAGAGGCAGAGGACATGGGGGTGGAGGGGCGAAGGAAGAGGCAGAGGACATGGGGGTGGAGGGGGGAAGGAAGAGGCAGAGGACATGGGGGTGGAGGGGCGAAGGAAGAGGCAGAGGACATGGGGGTGGAGGGGGGAAGGAAGAGGCAGAGGACATGGGGGTGGAGGGGCGAAGGAAGAGGCAGAGGACATGGGGGTGGAGGGGGGAAGGAAGAGGCAGAGGACATGGGGGTGGAGGGGCGAAGGAAGAGGCAGAGGACATGGGGGTGGAGGGGGGAAGGAAGAGGCAGAGGACATGGGGGTGGAGGGGCGAAGGAAGAGGCAGAGGACATGGGGGTGGAGGGGGGAAGGAAGAGGCAGAGGACATGGGGGTGGAGGGGCGAAGGAAGAGGCAGAGGACATGGGGGTGGAGGGGGGAAGGAAGAGGCAGAGGACATGGGGGTGGAGGGGCGAAGGAAGAGGCAGAGGACATGGGGGTGGAGGGGGGAAGGAAGAGGCAGAGGACATGGGGGTGGAGGGGCGAAGGAAGAGGCAGAGGACATGGGGGTGGAGGGGGGAAGGAAGAGGCAGAGGACATGGGGGTGGAGGGGCGAAGGAAGAGGCAGAGGACATGGGGGTGGAGGGGCGAAGGAAGAGGCAGAGGACATGGGGGTGGAGGGGCGAAGGAAGAGGCAGAGGACATGGGGGTGGAGGGGCGAAGGAAGAGGCAGAGGACATGGGGGTGGAGGGGCGAAGGAAGAGGCAGAGGACATGGGGGTGGAGGGGCGAAGGAAGAGGCAGAGGACATGGGGGTGGAGGGGCGAAGGAAGAGGCAGAGGACATGGGGGTGGAGGGGCGAAGGAAGAGGCAGAGGACATGGGGGTGGAGGGGCGAAGGAAGAGGCAGAGGACATGGGGGTGGAGGGGCGAAGGAAGAGGCAGAGGACATGGGGGTGGAGGGGCGAAGGAAGAGGCAGAGGACATGGGGGTGGAGGGGCGAAGGAAGAGGCAGAGGACATGGGGGTGGAGGGGCGAAGGAAGAGGCAGAGGACATGGGGGTGGAGGGGCGAAGGAAGAGGCAGAGGACATGGGGGTGGAGGGGCGAAGGAAGAGGCAGAGGACATGGGGTTGAGGGAAGGAAGAGGTGGAATTGGGGTAGATGGGTTGAGGAGACACACAAGAGCACTGGAGAAGGAGCAGATGTGATGGGAGAGCTGTGTGACAATGAGGGACAGAGGAAGTTGATGGTGTATGTGTATCAGCAGCTGAAGAAAAGTAGGTCAGAGAGAGAAGTGAGAGAGGGAGATAGGATTTTGTGTGTGAAAACCCCAGAGACTTTAGCTTTTCTTGTGGTGGGAATTCTAGCAGTTGAGGGCCAGCTGCCAGTGTTGGTGCACATCTGCTAGCTTGAAACAGAGACAAAGCAGGCTGCACTTTGCCACTGGTGTCAAATCTGGGTAAAGACCAGCATTACAAATTGCAGCTTGCTTTGTCTATATTAAAAGTTGGCACTGCCGTTCAGGGTGTAGCTTCCTCAGTTGTTGGGGAATCAGGCCATATTTCTACTATAGTAAGGCTTAGAAATTGTCTTTACTAGAACAATAGAAGGACATCATTACAGTGCTTGTAATAAGAAAAATTAACCAGCAAGAAACTGCCATCTTGATTGATGTAGACTGTATGCTATGAATTTAAATTTGGCCCAAACACTTTTTTTTTCAAAAGAAAGCTTTCATAAAGCTGAAAAGCCAATTAAAATGTTTCTAAAAAGGCACCACTTAATAATGTGAAAGTGAAAATGATGTAATTGATTTTCATTGCTCTCCCTGACAGAAATGTGGAAAACAGACTGACATGTATGTTGGATTTTAAAAGATTCTTTCTCTCTAAGGATTTAAAAATATTATAAGTAACATCTGTCAAGAAAATGGCTTGTTATGAACACACTGGCAAAAAATGCACAATATTTTTGTCTTGAGTCTTGTGTGCCATATTTCAAGTTAGCACATAATTGTTTAATTTCCTACTGCTCCTCAGTCCAGTGAGGGATACCTGAAACTGCTGAAGAGTTGAAGTTTCATTACACTTTATAAACATAAGAACAGCCATACTGGGTGAGACCATAGGTCCATCTAGCCCAGTATCCTGTCTGCCAACAGCGGCCAGCACCAGGTGCCCCAGAGAGAGTGGACCGAAGACAATGATCAAGCGATTTGTCTCCTGCCATCCTTCTCCAGCCTCTGACTCACAGAGGCCAGGGACACTATTTCTATCCCCTGGCTAATAGCCTTTTATGGACCTAACCTCCATGAAATTGTCTAGCTTCTCTTTAAACTCTGTTATAGTCCTAGCCTTCCCAGCCTCCTCTGGCAAGGAGTTCCACAGGTTGACTACAATACCAGTAAGTATTTTTAGCATATTTTATGGAAGTAGTGAAAATGAAGTTTGAGGGTCTTGCTGCCATGCTCTGGTGGTAAATCTTGCCTCTGAAGAGATGGGGAAAAACTGTTGTGATTTGGTGGGAACTGGGTGTGTGAATTAGGGAGTTCCTCCTGTATTTAACTATTTTAGAGGCTAGTTTAATTATCAGGTAGGTATTCAGTGTGGAGGAGCAATAATGAACAATGTGAAACTTGTTGTTTTACAGAGAATGATAGTGCTTCACTGGAGACTCTTGGCTGGGAAAAGTTAGTGTCATGACTAGAACAAGAGACAGGATAAAGCTCTCTTAAAGGTCTGACAGAAGAAACTGAAGACAATTATTTTTTCCCCAATTCCTACCTGATAAACACAGTGGTTCCCCATAGGGAGCAGGGATTCATATAGACATACGGGAACATGACGGTCCAGCTTGCTGAATGTGACCCTACTTGCAAAAATGTAAAGACTAAAACTGGTTTGATGCAAGGAACAAAAACTTGAGTATAAAGCTGCATGGCAGTACAGAATGAGGTCTGCCAAACCTCATAACCTGGCTAAGGAAAGGGATGTCCTATTCTTTGCAAGCTTTTTTGAACACAAGCCTGTCATAACTGCTATAATCACCAAGGAAAAGTGTTTGATCAGCTGAACAGCAGAGTTCACAAAGATGCCACACTACTGCAGGAAAATCAATACAACAATTAAAAGTGCCCCTGTCTCTCAGTACAACTCCCACAAGTCAAATATTCAGGCTCATTTATTATCTTGCAAAATTTGGCAGGCATGTTTTGGATCAGGGAGGCCAACTTGCCTCAGTGGATGGCTTGGACGTTGGCTGAACTATCTGAGCCAAAATTGATGCATGGATGGCTCAAGTAATGGATGAAACATTTTGTAATGGTGGAGATCCCCGGAGCTCACCTGGAGCTGGATTGGAACCAATATCAACCTAATAGTGAAAGGCTCTGTAATCCATTTCCTTCAACCACCATGAGCCAGCCAGCCTTCTTAAGCAGGCACCAGATTGGTAGAGTCCTGTGTGTATACAAAAATGCGGATCCACATCTGATCTAGGGACATTAAATATTGGTTAATCAAATAGTCAATTAACCTCATGAGTTCTTATTGGTTATTCAATTATTCTGTAGTTCCTGGGGGTGGGGCCGGCAGCCAGTGTACTCTGACGCCACTCCCGGGGAGCCCCCTGACGCTCCATGCTGCTGCCTCTGTATCAGAGGCAGCAGCGTGGGATGCCAGGTGGGAGCTGGCCTGTGAGGGGAGCCAGCTTAAAAACCAGCTCCCTTTGCATGGACTAGCTGCCTGTCGCCCTGCACTGCTGCCTCTGATACGTGCAGTGTGGGGTGGAAGCAGCCCCTGTCCAGAGGGAAGGGGGCCAAGCTCCCAGACCTGGCAGGAGCTGGAACTGAGCCAGGTTGCCTGCCCGTCTGGCTCCTAATACACTTTAAATGCAGAGCTGCAAATCCGGGATCCAGCACAAGCCAGGACTGAGCCCAGCTGCTGGCCAGCCTGGTAAAAATTTACTGGTGGTGGGTGTGATGGGAGAAATGTGTGTAGTCTAGAGCATTGACATAGAAGCTTTTGGTTATCAGTTAATCAACCACTATTACATCCCCAGCCTGATCAGCATCTGCCAGGTTCAATTCATTATCCAATCCAGATGTTACTTGCATCCACACAGCAAACTATTTGGAGGGGAGTACTGCTGAGCGAGGAGGAGGGGGCAGGGAAGCACAAAAGCAGGAA